TGCCACAACCATACATGCCAACCCTCCCGATTTTTCCGGGAGAATCCTGAATTTCTCCCAAGTTATTAGATTAGATTAAATTTAATTTTATTAATCCATTGGGAGGGGTCCTGTGGGGTTTTCACACAGCTGAATAAACGTTAAACAGAAAACTGATTAAACAAAGTGTGAGACGGTCGAGAGTTTACTCCAGTGCCCGGTTATATTTGAGATAGCAAGGAGCAGACGGCAGTTTCACTCCACCGAGGGAACTCATGATGTACTACCCGACTTTCTTTAGACCACGAAGGCCGGGTCCTCAGATGGAAGCAGCCTCTGAATTTGGACACCCCCGCTGTTTCCGGGCCGGCCAATAATAACGGTGACATTTAACGTATTTTATCCGATAAATAAACCCTGTAAAATATATTTATCCCCCCAACAGCCATTTTGAATGTCTTCCTAATTCTGAGTAAAACCTGCAGACAGTCAGATTAACAGTATTTTGTCTCCATCTGCTATTCTGCAATTCATCTCATGTAAACAATAACGTGGCGCACAGCTGATGGGAAAAAAGGCACACACCTTTGACGTTGCATGACGAACTCTGTATTCCTCGTCCACACGTAAACGTAAAAAAGGAGTTTTAAAAAATCTCTGTTTTCGGTGATTCGAAACGCTGTTTACGTGGACGAAACAGCTGCGTGTTCAAAAATACCCGTGTAGGTGTGGACGCAGCGTAAAAGAGTTAGTAGTTTGTTTTATTACTACCTGTAATTTTTTGCAGATTACTTGTATTTGTTTAATTGTTTACTAAATGTTTGAGGTGAGAAATAAACCACAAACGAGCAAAATATGGGCGTGTGTGGTTGGAGGATGTGTTTGTGCGTGTGCGTGTACGCGGGGGGGGGGGCAACATTTTTCCTGTAAAAAGTCTGGCAACCACTGCATTAAGCCAAGAAGAGGTCATTATACTAGCAGGAGGTATAAAAGCCGGGCCAAAGTTCAGCACGTGGTTAAAGTTTGTAATCCAGCCGGGGTGTAAATATCACTCAGCAGCCAGTCGTAGAGCTGAAGCATCAACACATAAATCTACCCGGCTTAAATCACAAGAGCACCTCTGACCGAAAAGCTGTAGATTTTTCTTGTTTGCACAAATTAATTCAGATTCACACTAATTCTGTTCACAGCTCCAACAAAATGAGGAAGAGGAGGGAGAAACACAATTAGATTGAATTACAATTGGATGGAAGTCGAGGACAAGGAGAAGGAAGCTTAGGATGAGGAGGAAGA